GGGAGCCCGATGCGGGACTCGATCCAGGGACTCCAGGATCATGACCTGAGCCGAAGGCAGTCGCTCAACCAACTGAGCCACCCAGGCACCCTGTTCTTGTTTTATAATATTTCTACTGGGGAAACTCATCATAAAAAATAGAGCAAAAACATGTTTCTAAAAACTGTTTTCACTAATTGATAAATGATCAAATCATTAGTTCATTTCCCGTGGAAGTGACACTTGTAGCCATCTGATCTCTTCTTAAAAATTTTCGATGAATTGTTTTGTTTTGTTTTTCAAGAAGATTTTTCTAGGTAGGCTAATTTTGTGCTAATTCTGGGCTACTTAGTATATTTGTGGCATCCGAAAGTGGAGCGTGTATGAGATATTATGTTCTCCTGTATTATAGGGAAGTACAAAACTCTGGGCTAATATCCAGAACCAGACGAACAAGAATCATTTTGTTTTCCCATTCAATCCTTACTCATCAAAAAACGTATTTGGTTTTTGACAACGATCAATCTCCTTTGACTAAAGCCATTCATTTTGGGGCATGAGGAAATACGAGTGTGTTTGCATTTCCACGAGATGTATATTTGACAAGGTAGACCCAAACCTAGCCAGAGTTGTCATAGCCTGACCCCTGCAGTTACAGGCAATCAGAGAGGCGTGTCGTGGGCTGTGCCAGCTTCCTCCCCGTTCCTTTCTCTTACTCTCCCAGGACTTCTTCTTCTTTTTTTAGATTTTATTTATTCATTTGTTAGAGACAGAGAGAGCACAAGCAGAGAGAGAAGCAGACACAGGGAGAGGGACAAGAAGACTCCCCGCTGAGCAGGGAGCCCGATGCAGGACTCCATCCCGGGACCCCGGGACCACGACCTGAGCCAAAGGCAGCCGCTCAACTGACTGAGCCCCCCAGGTGCCCCTCTCCCAGGACTTCTTACTGCTGGCCTCTGAAGAGTCAGGAGGCAGTGCTGTTCTTGGCGGTGGGGACGAAATCCTCTCCTAACTGCAATGCGTTACACTTTCCAGTCACTCTGCTTCATGGACGCAGTTTTTCAAAAACAGCTTATATTATAGAAGCAGACATTTTTACCAATGGCTTGGCAAACTGGTAATTGTGAACCTGCTCCCAGGCAGGAAAAAACCTTTTGATTTAGAGCTCTTTAAAATTGAATTAACCTCAAATCCCTTTATTGACTAAAAATGATTCCGTTAATAAAAGATCCTACAGTAATTTCAGACTCTTCATTGTTTTTACCTCAGCCTTGATTTAATAAAGCTCTCATTTTCAACATTGTGCTCCGTTAACCTAAGTCATGATTTTGAATTTATTAAATGCCTTCTAAAGTAATCTGTACCACATTAACAAAAGAAAGATTGAAAACCTTATGATCATCACCATTCCTGTTTCTTTTTTTTTAAGGGAATCTTCTAGCAAACCAGGAATAGAACGGGAACTTCTTTAACTTGACAAAAAGTGTCTTCCATTACCTACACCAAAAACCATACTCAAAGGCAAAATGCTAAATGCATTTCCTTTAAAATCATAACCAAGGAAAGCTTTCTTTCTCTTTCTTTCTTTCTTTCTTTCTTTCTTTCTTTCTTTCTTTCTTTCTTTCTTTCTTTCTTTGAGAGAGTGAGAGAGACGGAGAGAGTAGGAGCAGGGGGCAAGGGAGAAGCAGACTCCCCAGGGCAGGGAGCAGGGAGCCAGCCGTGGGGCTCAATCCTGGAACTCCAGGATCATGACCTGAGCCGAAGGCAGACACTTAACTGAGCCACCCAGGCGCCCCCAAGGAAAGAATTCTTTTTTTTTTTTTTTCATCCAGCAAAATTCTGTTTAATGGAGGTGGGCAGCAGGATGTTCCACTATGATTAATTTAGTTCAGGGACCTGTCAACATTAGGTAGAGAAGAAGCCACCATCATTCTTTCGGGAGTAGCCTCCATTGGTGGCTGCAGTGTGAGGGGACACTATGGATCCCTGGATGCTGTGGATAGACTCGTTCTTAGGGTTGATCCAGTGTCTGATGTTAGCTCGGGAAGTGATGGAAGGTGGCGGAGGAGGGGGTAAAAGTTCTCCAGGGAATTGGGTCTTGATGATTCAATGGGTATCCTGGGTGGTCTCCTGGTGTAAGAGTATCTCACTTTTGTTCTTGAATGTCCCTGAGTGGTGGTTGTACAAGGCTGCTAAGCGGAAATCCAGGTCATCCTTTGGTATCTCAGGATCAAAAAAATAAACATCCTGCCTCATGGAGGTGATTGTGGGAGTTGAGCTGAGCCGACTCCAGGGTTGCTGTTGCTGAGCAAGGTGAGCTGGGTTCTTATATGGCAGTTTCTTGGAAGCCCGGAGTTTTCCCAGGAAGGTATTATCGTTATCCAACGTAGGGTGCTGGAAGGGGTCTCGGGTGAAAGGCATGGTAAAATGCGGAGTGAGCCGCTGGTGTGAGGGATGGGACTAAGGAAAGAATTCTTATTATCACTCTTACTTAATACTACAATAAAGGGGGTCTTAGTCAGTCCAGTAAAACAAAACAAGACCAAAAAAATGAAAGGTATAAAAACTGGACTAAAAAAATCTACAGAAAAATTATTATAATTGCAGAGGGTCATTGTTATAAGATCAGTATGCAAAAGTCAATTTTGTTTCTATATACTAACAACAAACCATTTAAACATAATTTTTAAAAGATACTATCCCCAATAGCAACAAAATTTAAAAACCTAGCACAGCTACCTACTAAAGCTAACAAAAGATGAGCATGACCTACACTGAGAAAATTATGAAATCTTACTGAAGGACGTTAAAGAAAATTTAAATTAATGTAAAGAACATGAGCAGGAAGACTCAACAGAGTAAAGCTTTAGCTCTTTCC